TTTTTTTTTTTTTTTTTTTATATAATCTTGAAAGTCGACAGAAAGCGTTTGCCTATCGAGAGAGAAAAAATACGATAAAAAAAATATTGCACATTAATCAAATTCGTAAACTAAGGTTCAAAAAACTGCTTTGCAGTTTCAGTCCTAAAAGTACAGCTTATTGTTGCCTTAATGTTTGTAACTTGTACAATCACAGAATAGTGTAAAATAAAATATAACTATATTATAATATTGGTGAATTTTCATTACTTTGATTATTAAAACAATTCCTTTGTCATGGCATAAATATATATTTTTTAAATATAATACAGTATGTATTATAGCATGAGAATTCTTTTTTCATTTGACGGATGACGATGGGGGAGACTTGCAGAGGTACCTATACTTTGACTGGAGGTCCATCATCATCAAAAGAAAAGAAGAGAGAAGGAGAAAAACATGATAGAAATCGTCGAATCACATAATTGTAGGAGCTTGGAGAAAATCGATTGTTCCAATCACGCGATGGAGAACCGAAACGCAACATCTTTACATCGTTTCTTAGATACAAAAACATTTTTTTTTAATGAATTTGAATGTAGGTATTAATATTTTTTTTCCTTAAATTTCTTACTTTTTAATCACTTGTTTTAAATCCTTTGAAAAATATAAAACGATTTACGACTTATTAAATGTTAATTTTTAGAACTTTTTCATTAGTCTATATCAAAAGCTGAGGTTTGTGAGAATCAGTATGATAAATAAAAAATGACTTAAAGTGTAGTGGTGCGAAGCTTTCTCATAAACTTTTCTTCATAATTTTTATTCAATGCTACATCAACTTTACATTCAATTGATATTTCGAAAACTACCTTTTCAAATAAATTAATTCCATTACAAGTCTGTAAAATATAAAAAAATGTAGCTCATAATTTCTTTTTAGTGGTAATTTGAATCTTAAAAAAAATAATAAGCTACGTGTAATCTGAATTGTTCAAAATATTTCTGATATACGACCGATCATCTGCATAAAAGAAAATATACGCCTACATATAGGCACACAATTTTTTTTCTATCCATGTTCGTTCTTTTATAGAAAAATTATGATTGTTTTAAATCTTTTCACGGAAGATAATTGAAACAACAATAAAAAAACTTCAAATAGCTCTTTGAAAAAAACAAAGGTGTTGGTTTCGTGATGTTCGGCAAAAGTGATATTTTAAAACAATATGTCACTTAATTCGATGTTATAGAAATTTAGAATTCAAGTACTGCAGGTGATAAATTGTTTCATTAAAAAGTTTGAAAATATGACCAACCGAATTATTTGTTCTCCAATCGATCATATGCTATTATTGGAGTCACAAAAAAGTAATTAGAAAAATAGCACAGACGTGCATAAATTGTTAAAAATTTTTTTTGTACGACATACCGTTGAAAATATTAAAAAATTACTATATCTTATGGATCAAATATAACAATTACATTTTTTCCTTTTGTTAGGATAAATAAATCATCGAGATACACTAACAGAAAGAGATTAATTGTTATAGAAAACGTTTTGCCCTACGGAGTAAATCAACGATTTCAGATTGGTGCCCTCGAGAAAAAGTGCAACGGCTGGGACGGAGTGAATTCAATTATTTAGTCAAAACAATACGCAGGTATAAGTAAGCATGCATGCGGCGATGTGACCGGAGATGGAGACGTGGAGGGCCGCTGCGGGAGAGCGAGCACCTCGGTGGAGCTCTGGCCTCGCGCGACGATTCGTTTCTCGGGAAGTCACGAAATGTCCTGCCTAATCGCTCATAAAAGCAGTTTTGAAAAATTCCATCACGTTACTTAACGTGGCGTTTGTTCATAAAGAAGCCAGAGGTCACGATAATCATAAAGTGCTTGAGTTGTAACCGGGGCTCCGTCGAACACTCGTAAATAAGTATGAACTTAAGATATGTTACCGAATGACATAATGTACATGATGCAAAATCCTAATGATTATAGTCATTTTTAACATATAAAAATCAACTAGTTCCAACATTGCAGACAAACGTTCGACGGCCATCTTAAGTTGTTAGTCGCAAAACGCGTAGCTCAGAAAACGCTCGGGTTATAGATTTGTTAAGAAAGGGTATATTTCAGCATTCCAAGTGAACTGAATAGTGGTTGTAGCAATGACTGTTAATATGATCATTGCCTTTATTCTTGTAAATTTTTTTTACAACTTACAAGTTAATGCTCACGGCAAACTTGTAGACCCAGTGAGTAGATCATCTGCTTGGAGGAAATTGTCCGGTGCTCCAAAAAATTACAATGACAACCAGCTTTTCTGTGGTGGCATGGGGGTGAGTTAAGTATAGTTTGTTCACTGTACCTAAATTTTTGCCCTTCATTTAGTTATTTTCGTGAAATTGCGTGCGTTGTAACAATTGTTTGTCAGGTTTTTAATAAAAAAAAAAAAAAAATGAACGAGTAAATAGTAATTCCCGCAATGTACCTTACAATAGTGTGGGTACTATGGCTGACTTTGCTTATTTATGCGTACGTAATACATAAAATTAAGTATTTTTACACTATATAAGACTCTAGTAATATAAGTACTTAACTTTTAAACCAAAAAAACTACTCTGAACTGACTAGGAGACGACGGGTGCTTATGAAACTGCTTTAAGCGCCATCGCACCGCAGCTGCCTTACGTCCCTAAAAATAGTCCCGAAGACGATGGCACTTATCCGACAAAAACCACCATTACAATCTCGTTACTGAATACTGCTATAATCATACCAAACGAGTTAATCATTGCAAACGAATTACCAAACGTAGAAGTTAGCAGACGTATCTAAACTCTTACTAAAACGTAATACTTGTTATAAAGCAGTTTATACTGATGAAGCAGCCATACATGTTGTTACAGTGGCCACAGTGGAGCAGCGGTAGAGTTGCAGTTCCGTCGATCATCAAAGTTGAGCAGCATTTGGCGCGGTGAGTCGGTACTTGGATGGATGACCGTTCGAGTCTCACCGTTTCGCCTGTACCGTTGATTAACTGTTTCTCTTACGCTTAGCCAACGTGATGATAGGTGTGATTAAGTAAGAGTCCTGGTGTTTATATGCATAAACATCTAGTCATGACTTAGGTTTACACCGATGCATGGCTGAAAAACACTTTACTGGTGTAAAAAACACTATGTCTGAGCCTGAGGGGGATTTAAAGTAAAGTTCGTTTACATAATAAGGTGTTAAAAATTATTAAAACCACTCCAGCGCACAAATAGATCTCGAATTTATGATCATTGACCTCGAAAATCCATGAGAAACGATTTCGTAGGCAAAATTATGAATTTGTTAGTCATTTATTGAGAAAAATAATTATTTTAGTGGTTAAAACTACCCCTGCTTGAAAATATACCTCCGATTCGGGATCAGTGACCTCAAAAACCTCCGAGGGAGGATTTCCCGGGATTTCCGAGGTGAAATAATGCATTTTTACACCAATTTTTGGTACTGCAATTCATGGGGAGGCTTTAGATGGGTAAATTCACCCTAGATTATTTATACATCGAAGTTATGCATAGGTTTGGGGTGATTAATGTTTCCAAACTAGTTTCTGACATTTTTCAGTTTAGTCCTGCTTTTTCACTTTGAAAAATCAGTATTTAAAATCTTTAGTGGGGTAGAAAACAGTGTCACAAGCCCTTAAATGCCTGCACACAATTTTTTTTCTCATTTCTGAGGATATACATATAGAATGTGAACAAAATTGGTTAAAGTCTGTGCCTCGAAAAAATTTTCTTTTTTCTTTGGAACGTGTAAATCCAAACTAGAAATGGATTTCCTCATATGTACATACTGTATCTTATGTTTTAATTACATTAATTTAATCAAATTTGAAGCCATCACATTGTTACCGTTGGTTATTCGCCTTTCTCATAAAAACAATTTTCTAGATACTTAGGAATTTTATTTAGGATTTTAACAATAATACTTTTTTGGCTAGTGTTGTTAAGATATATGCATTTATTATTCGCTATGTGCTTCAACGGAGCTTCATTGTCATTAATTTCCTGTGTTAAATCTTACGGAGTAAAGTACTTAAAGCGACCTTCATCAAATGAGCCCTTATCATTTTACGATAAATTATACGATATATCATTTTACGATATAAATTCTTGATAATGTATCATTTGTTCAATTTTTTTCTCAACAGTCAATCTTATACTTCAATTAAATTCATTAATATGGCTAAAATTTCCAGACTTTATATCAACAAAATAAAGGGAATTGCGGACCATGTGGCGACAATTGGTCTCAACGTCAACCAAGAGACAACGAAAATGGTGGAAAATACGGCCTAGGAGTGATTGTTCGTAGGTCGGTGAAAGATATTTAAGGTGACATAAGGTGACTCAAGAAATAAGTCACACTCGAATATAATTATATAAATATGTTTAAAAAAAACTGTGCAATGTATAATTTATTTTACGGAGAACACTATAACACCAAAATCAGTATATATTCACGATTGGAACCATGAAATAATTAACAAAAATAGTTGAATGTCAGGCTGCTGCATATTTACGATAAAGAATTAGATATATATTCACGTGTTGTACGGAGAAGCGGCCAGCTGAGTAATACTTTGGATCTACTTTCAGTAAACGTTGTATATAAATATTCTTTGTATAACACTGATGTATCAAGAACGTATACGGGCCTGAGACTTTGAGAAAATTTTTTAACTTTTGTTTGTGCATAGTATATTTTCACTCAAAAAATCAAGAAAAACACGTCTTATAACTTATGCTCACATTTTATGAATAATTTACTTTAAAATCCACTTATAAAGTTACGGTACCTACTACTCTCTTGAGCCACCTGAAAGTGAATTACACACCAAAAGATAAAATAAGGACTATCCTAGATCGCACTTATACGTATACGTTTTGGACAAATTTCTCTGTATTTGTGATGTCGAAAATTTACTCAAATAACTTTCATAAAATTCAAAAAGATGTAAAACAAATAGGGTGCATTTGTATTTGTCATTATTTTATCTCTTTGATAAACGCTTGTTTCTAATAGAAATGTTTTTTTATTCGGATTGTAAAGTCAACAAAGAAGAACTGTCTCAATTTTAATTGTAAGAGTTATATATTTAAAATCCTAATATTTTAAATAATTTCCGATTACGAAAATATTAATTAAATATTTTTAAAACACGTGATTCTTTAATTTGTGTCCTACATCTTGAAAAATTTTTAAGAATTTTTTTAGGTTTTATGAAAGTATAAAAATTTATAATCAATTATACGTTCTGAAGAATTACTCATTTACTTATCAGTCTTATTCGTCATCAAAAACTCTGATTAAGTGCATGGATTTAATTTAACATCATTATAATCATCATGTGTAATTATTTCTGTGAACTCTTTTAATATGTAACTTGAAAACCTTTGTCACAGATACTGTCCAGGAAAACGGATTAATATAACAGTTGACTTAAGTGCCAATCACTTGGGTTACTTTGAATTTTCCCTATGTCCTCTCAACTCAACCAGAGACATCGAAACCGAGGAATGTTTTGCCGCACACCCCATCTACCTCGCTGACGGTAATCTACGTTACAAAGTGAAGAAAGGAATGAACGGAAATATTATAATTCAGGCCAACCTACCAAAAGACTTTGTATGCCCACATTGTGTCTTCAGATGGCACTACTACGGTGGAAATAATTGGGGTATGTGTCAAGATGGAACTGGCAGACTTGGCTGTGGGATTCAGGAGGTATTCCGTGGATGCGCTGATGTATCCATATTGCGAATTGCGCCAAAATCTGCGAACCATCCAAGCCGCCTATAGTCAAAGTCACCGACGCCGCTGCTTCTTTGTAGGGTATAAAAGGCCCATGCCAGTCCATGTTAAATACTTTTGCCTTCAGCAACAAGTCTGGCACTTTAGCTGGGGAGCTCTGCCCTTCAAAGCGCTGTTGTACATTTTTTGAAAACCGCAATAAATGGCAAAATTATATCTATACATTTAATCGTTACTTTTTTTTCTTATACCTTTTATATTATACCACTACCCTGGCTACACGGGCGACGAAGAGGATCTTGCAGTCTCCTAGTTTTCCACCAGTGGCTACTCTTTCGTTTTACTCGGGTAATGAGCGGATCTTCGGGGCACTGTGAACCGGAGCTATCCTCTAGGTAAGGTACGAACCATTAATATTAGGTAGTCATCATAACAATATGAGCTGTTTTACTTATTTTTCCACAACGAACAAGCTTTTTCCTAATAAGAAACGACTAGGTATTTTAAAAAATGGTCTGATAAAATAAACGAAAATCAACTTTGTAAGACTCTTTTCTAATTCTAGAAGAAAACAACGAGAAAAATTGATGTAGAAAATGAATTGAAACATTAAAAATGGTAAATTGAATTTGATGTTATCCTTCCAATAAACAATTAAAAATCTTAGTTATAAGATGTCTTTCACTACAACAAGCAAAATCTTTCCTGATTCTTGGAATAGCTGGACGTTTGAAAAATTATTTTTTGTTGCGTTAACCGTCACATCACTAAAACATCATTAAATGGTCAATTAAAAATTTGCGAAGAATCAATAAGCTGTGTTTCTATTCAGTTTTATCTTAGCTGTTGAGAACATATTATTAATTTAATTTTAATGCGTTAAACATCATATCACCGATAGAATACTGCCCACTAATTTCTAGCTCTAATTTCTACCCACTAATCAAAGAGAAAAAAATTCAAATGAACCATGTTCTCAATTATTAAAAACTAGCGGCCCCCTCGTCTTGACTTCACCTGAGACTTACTAAATGAAACACCGTAGTGTGCTGACATGTAACGTAAAACGATTTCAGTTAGAAATTTGACATATATTCCTTACACTTCTCAGAACAAAAATCTTCTTACTAAAAACATATTTGTTCGCAATCCATACAGTTTATTTGGTCAAATAATAAACTGTAAAAATTAAAAAAAAAATACAATTATGCTGAAAAGTACCTTGCGTTCTTTATGCCATAAAATAATCGTTGGCTATAAGGGGCCGTTGATTTGCAGTTTATCCCGTATAGTTTACGAAAAAGGCTATTTTTTAAAGCTGTTAAGATTCAAAACTCCCAAAAAATATATAATAAAAATAGTATATTACGTACCAAGGGACTAAAGCAAGCCAGTTCGTGGCTGTTGTAGTGTGCGCCCGAGCGTAGCGAGGGCGCTACAAGCAATAGCCACTCGCTGGCTTGCTTTAGTCTCGCGGTGCGTATACACTTTTATATCACACTCAGTGGAAAGTTCGTTACATTGAGAGGGAGAGAGATAGAAGGAAAATAAGCCATTCATTGTGTGGTTATAGGTTATATCACAAGAGTTTTTATAATTGTTTCCGATTGTGATATTTAGGATATTCCTGTATTTTTGTATAAAATATGGCAACAGTTTCGACAGTCATGTTTGAAGAGGATTCTTCTGACGAAGAAAACTTTAACGAGGATAAAGTAGGGGAAGGAAGAGACTTTGACTGTGAACGAAATGCCATTGTTCAAATTTTACTTCCCATAAAATCGAGAGCATTATATGAATATGCATACGCTCGATTCTTACAATGGAAGCATAAGAACAAGGACCTAATTATTTAACTCTTTTAATGAATGTGTTTCGAAATGTAATAATTTCAATAGTTTATTATACAAGATTGATAAAAATGAAGAACTGTTAAAATGCAGTTATTATTTAAAAATGTGTGAACAAAGAAAATTGTATAACAATTTTAATTATTTCCATTTGTTCAGAATCTCATGTTTTTTTTTTGTATAAAATACACCAGCAAACAGTACATTGGCTTCTTTTATCTTGTTGATGTTTCCCAAATTTGTTTGTTTACTGCAGTGTGGCGCCCTCGCTATGTTCGAGCACCGAACTACTTCAGGCACTTATTGGCTTATGTATATAGTAATATACAGTAAGATATAGATACGCATGCGTACACGCACTTATTACACAGTTTCTGTCCCTGTATACAGGGAGAACAGTACGAACTTTACGCTTAGTGTGATATAAAAAATTTTTTTTCTCTTATCTTACAACTTTATTATCAGAGCAACAAAGTCCTGGAGCTAAATCTCTACATTTTTTATCGCCACAAAAATACAAATACATTTTCTACTTATTTAAAAAACTGAAAGATTTAAGAGATTACTATGAAGGTACAATGAAAAGCTGATCTATCACGTAATGGATTTTTTATTTGTTGATTTTGACGCTGCTGTTCCAATCTTGATAAATTTTCTGCGTCAGTTTTTTGACGCCTAAAATTGTATTTATTAGAAACATTTGAAGTGTTCCTTCCAATTCATCCTCTTTAGACTTTTGGCATGCTTGAGGCTTTTGTGACTCCTAAAGGCTGTTTTCTGTCAACTTTGTTAAGTTCTAATATATTTGTTGGCAAGATAGTGGTACTGATCGGGAGAAAAATTATGAAGTCCAAAGCTTTGGAGCTAGTTGTAGGGATTTTTTCCAACGTCTCCTAGTATAACATCGAAGACGTTGGTATTTAAAGCCCTTTTTTATTTGCATAATCAGTTGTTTTGGTGATCTTAGATGGGGAGATTGGTTAGTGATACTTGTCCAGTAGAGGCTGTCCCGTTGGCTCAAGTTTTTTTTCCCCTTCGTAGCTGTTAGGTTTGCCCAGCGCAGACCTTGGAGAAGATCGGTGATTCCTGGTTACATGCTTAGAGTCGAGAGGGTTGTTAGAATATAAGTAAATTTATAACGGCCTCATAGTACAACGGGTTATAAAAGAGAGAAATATTTTTGATTTTTACTGATGATTATAGCAAGATAATTAAAATTTTTGTAATTACATCAAAGAGTGAGGTTCATGATTGTTTCATTGATTATATCAATACAACGGAATATATGACTGGAAAAAGATTTAAAATATTAAAATGCGATAATGATAAAGAGTTTTTAAATAAAGATGTTTATAAATTTACGAGAGAAAAAGGAATTGTGATTGAACCATGCCCACCGTAAGTATGTTCATGAGTTAAATAGGATGGCAGAAAAATACAACAGGGATATTATGAATACGTCACAATGTCTACTAGCAGATGCTAATGTACCGATAATGTATTGACCTGAAGTAGGTAAAACGGTTGCATTTTTAAATAATAGGATAGTTTCAAATTCAGTAGAAAAAAATAAAACTCCTTATGAGATAATGTTTGGTGAGAAACCTTGTATTGAAAATTTACGTTTGTACGGAAGTAAAGTTTTTGTAAGAATACCAGAACATAAAAGATATCTAAATGGGATAATAAAGCTGAAATGGGAATTTTATTAAGTTATGAAAAAGTAGGGTATAGAATTGTATTAAATGATAGGGTGATAGTAGCTAGATATGTTGACATAGTTGAAGATATTAAGATGGTTGGATTTAAAATAAACGACAATAAAATTGAACATGCAAATGGATTTGAAAATCAAATTCAAAATGCTGACAATAAAAATGAACAAGAGTCTGAAAATGGACAAAATGAAAATAATAATGAAAAAATTGAGCTGAGACGTTCAAAAAGGAATGTAAAAAAACCTGCGAAATATGAAGATGAAAATTTTGTTTATAATGGTATTGTATATGTTAACTATGTAAATGCGAAAAGTCCAGTAAGTTTTGATGATGCGATGAATTCGTATGAATATGAAAGTTGTAAAAATGCAATGGACAGAGAAATGTCTAGTTTAATTAAAAATAATACTTGGAGGTTAGTTGAAAAACCGACCAATAAGAAAGTTTTAGACTTGAAATGGGTTTATACAAAAAAAAATGATGTTTATAAACCAAGGTTAGTTGTTAGGGGATTTCAACAGAATAAATTGTTGTAGATATATATTCACCAACTGCTAAAATGCAGACTTTAAAAATGCTATTGGCATACTGTTGTCAAAATAAATTAATTATTGAACAGATGGATGTAGAAACGGCTTTTTTGAATGGTAAAGTAAAATCTGAGATGTATGTTAAACAACCTAGAGGTTATGAAGAAAATACCGAGAAAGTTTTAAAATTAAATACTTAAGGCTTTGTATGATTTAAGAGAAAGTCCAAGACTATAGTATGAATGTTTTGATATATATATATATATTGAAGAGTTAGGATTTGTAAGAAATAAAAATGATTGTTGTCTATATTCATTAACTGATGAAAATAAAACTATGTATTTAACTTTGTTTGTTGATGACTTATTAATTTGTAGTAAAAATAAAACTAAAGTCAATTATATTAAAGGCTTGTTGTCAAAAAGGTTTTAGATGAAAGATCTAGGAGAGATTAAAACTTATTTAGGGATAAATATTGATTACAATTATGAAAAAGGAAAAATGACACTTGATCAAAAAAGATATACTGAAACCTTAGCAAATAAATATAATATTAAAAATTCGAAATTGTATGCGGTTCCGATGGAACAAAATTTAAAACTAGAACCAGCGCAATCAGCATGTGAGGGGATTGAACTTAGAAACTTAATTGGAGCTTTGTTGTACATAAGTTCAGGGATAAGACCTGATATTAGTTTTTGCGTTAATTATTTGAGCAGATTCCAAAATAGTTATGAACATATTTTATTGCGTTAAGAATTTTAAAATATTTATTTTTCACAAAAGATTTAAAGTTACTTTAGAAAAAGGATAATAGAGGTGATCTTATTGATTGTTATGTTGATGCTCATTGGGGGGATGATTAGTTGATAGGAAGTCTACGACAGGTTACATTGTAAGGTTGTACGGTAATTTAATTTTTTGGAAATCGAAAAAAACAAAACAGTGTTACTAAATCGTCAACTGAAGCTGAGTTGCATTATCTGAGAGTGTAAGTGAACTAAAAGTGATTAAGAACATTTTAAGTGATTTCAAAATTGAGTTAAAAGAACATATCAAAATTTATAAAAACAATAGTGGTACTATAAGTACTGAGAAAC